AGTATAGCTTCTAGGGTTTTCTATACTAAGTATTCTTTATTATTAATTAAGAATAGTTATCTATTTATTTTTAGAACTATTTCCTTATATTCAGGTTTTTAGCTAAGAGTATTAGCTCTTCTGTTTTTTAATTCCTTTTAATATATAATTTTATAATTAAACTAAGATAGGTATTTAGTATAGTATATTTATCTTCTATTTAGTTATTAAGTTATAGTAAATATTACGAATTACATTGTTATACATTGAAGTCATATAGACTACCCCACTTTTTCCAACTAATTACTGGTAGATTATTAGGATCTTATAATAATCCTAATAATCCAGGATAATAGATTATTACTAAGCCTCTGTAATCCCCTAGTATATATATATATTTACTTTATTAGACAGAATACTCTCTTAGATAGTTATTAATATAATTATCTATATATCTATTATTACTAGCTCTATAATACTTATATATTAACAGTAACTTATATTATACAGCCTAAGACGACCTGATCGTGCTATTCAGAATAATACTCTGATTAGTTTAACTCCGACCTACCCTAGACCCCGTCCAGTATAAGTTAACCCAACCGTTATATATTAATAACTCTTATTCAGCTGATTACCTTATTTTAATTACTATATAATAACGAAGAAGATATTATAGCTGCTGTAGTTCTATAAGCTTAACAGTATACTATACCTGCTGCTAACTATCCGCCTGCTCTATATATTAAAGACACTATAAACGAGGATAATAGCAGTAGTAACAGCAGTTATAGAGCAGAAGTTAAACTCCTTAGGGAGCAGGTCCTCTAACTTTAGGAATACCTTATAACTATATAATAAGAAATAGCTACTGCTACTACCCTTATAGGACAGTAAGCTGCTCAGAATACTAACCTTTAGGCTCAGGCTCAGGCTGTAGCCTAAGGAAGGGAGCCAGGAGTACTACTTAAGCTACTACTACCTGAGATATTTAATAGAACTTAAGATAAGCTTTAAGGCTTTATAATCTAACTCTGAGTATACTTTAACTATTTCCCTATTACCCTTAATAGTAATAAATAATAAGTTACTTATACCTACTTATAACTTAAGGGAGCTGTACTTAATTAGTTTAAACCCGTTATAAGAGAATATCTTAACGGATAAGGAAGCTAATAAACTATTAATATTATAACGAGCTTTAACTACTTTATAGAAGTCCTCTAATAAACCTTTAGAATCTAAGATAAGAGATATAAGGCTGAATATAAAATTAATAAACTCTCTCAGACTGAACCTACCTCTACCTTTAGTAGCAGGTACCTCTAGCTTTTAGTAAAAATAGGATAGGACTAGGAATATATTATATTATACTACTTTAATAGACTGAAGGAAGAAGTCCAGAAGGAACTCTATAAGGAAGACAGGCTAGTAAGTATCTATAAATATATAACTATAGCTATAAGAATTAATAACCAGTAATATTATTAGCAAACTTATAGTAAGAAGATAACCTACTATACTAACAGCGGTTAACCACAATAGTAATAATAAACTACAGTCTCTAGGATATATATAGGTCCTATAGAGCTAGGAGCTATAGAAAAATATAAGTACTATAATTATAATAAGATTAGATATATCTTACCCCAGTACCTAAAACCTAAGAAGTAGAAAAATTAGAAACCTACTAAAGAAGATAAAAAATAATTAGGAGCAACTGGAAAAACTGAGACTAAGATACTTGGAATAGTCAGGAAGGCTGCCTAGGGAGAAGGCTATATAACTGCCATAACTCCTGTACTTTCCGGACGACCTGTACTAAAATTCTATAAGATACTGGAAACTGGCAAAATACTAATAATATCAGAAGGAAATTACCAATATATTACGGATATCTTCAGGGAACTCAAACGGAAATATAAGGATAAGAGGGACATTATAGACCTCGGACCCCTTACTAAATATAAGTATATATTTTACTATATTAATAAGCTTATTAAATATACTCCCGAGGAATAGGAATAATATATATTCACCAGGGAAGAAATTAAAGCTGAATATAACGAACTCTATACCTACTACTAGTAAAAAATATAAACATAAGATCCAGACCTTAAGAAAATATCCGGAATAGTACTATACGGAAGAGATACTACAGACGCT